TGTGATTTGGCTTTTGTGTGTGTTTTCACTCAATTATCATTAATTAATCACAACAACTATTTTTGTGACAAAAATGCCTACAATTCACGCATTTTATGTTTTATTGTATAAATGCCATTAAAAGATATTGCCATTAACTTCAAACCCGCTATCAATTGTATAATAAAAGCATCATATTATTGCTATTTAATCAAAAATAATGTTTCGTTTAATTATACGAACATATCATTGAAAATAATATTCAATTTGTTTTTGATGTAAATATTATATATATTTCGCCAAAAATTAGGAAATTTATTTTTAAAATTTAATATTTTATTATATAATAAAATAATTCTCACACAAATTAATATTTTAGCAAATATAGCATGTCATCGAAATTAACACCAAATCTTAACTACACGCGTTATGACAATTATTTTTATTTATGTATAACTTTTATAACGAAAATTATTCAACAAATTTGGCTGTACTTTAGTGTCCTATAGTTGCGCTATTTATAGTTATACTAAGGATTATTATTTAATTAAAATTTAAGCCTACAATGTTTGCATTGATTTAAGTACTTTAGCAGCAGTATGTAGTTAATTTAGGCATAGTATAGTTTTTTAATAAAACCAAAAATATTAAATTTTATAATATTATTTCAAAAACTTATGGCTAACTTGTGAGTAGTGTATAACATATTTTGTACCAGAGTAATTCAATCCAATACTATATTCTGTTTTTGAACGATTTCTTGTTAAACCTTTTAGTTGTACTTTTTTGTCAGCAAATTCTGTAAAGATTAAGAGTATATTAAACTATATTTTTTGATAAATAATTCACTCAAAAGACAAGCAAAATATAAATATAAAAAACAGAAAAATTCTTTCCATTCAGAAATGGATGAATTATTTTTGCAATTTTTTTACATTACATTTCATTTTGAATTCTATCCCTTTTATGAGTTTTTATTGATTTTCGGCACAAAAAATTGATTTATAAATCATAACTCTATTTCACTCTACAAATGAATTTCTATTTAAAGTTAATATCGTATATAAGAAAAATGAAAATATATTTTTACATTTTCATTCATATACAGCGCGTATACAAAAATAAATGCAATTCTTATAATTAAGTCTAAGAATTATACGAATTAGTACTTAGCCATAAATTACTTGTTCAATTTATCTCAATTAATATGAAATAAATGTCACTTTCATTAATAAATTATTGTGTGTTTTGATTAAATTAAAAGCAGAATTCAAAGGCCGAGGACTTAACGCTCAACTCATTTCAAATTCTTCCTTAATATTCATGGCGTAAGTCTTGGCGATGGGGTTTAAAAGGCTTTCCCTATATAAACAGTTGAAGTGATTTATTCAGAAACATTTTTGTCTGAGATTAAGAATCGACACTAACTATAGGTTTAGGACTTACGAAACGAAAAAATGTATAATATTTTGAACGATAAAACTCAACGCTTGCTAAATGTTTGCGAAATTTCTCGAGAATATTAATCTCTCAAAGAGTTTTGCACTGTTTTTCTGGTTGCCATCACTAAACACATCGTGTGACTAAAGCATGAAATTTTGATTTTAAAATTATTACTTTTAACAGTATTTGACAAGAATTTGAGGCTAAATTATAGGTTTCGTAAATAGTATATTTGATAGCGCTATTTGATAAAATATCATTATAGTTAAGCTCTTATTTCTAACAGTAAATATTGTTCACCTAAATTGTGTTAAGTATTATATTCAGTACAAAATGATGTATTATTTAATTCAATTTGAATATTTAAAGTAAAAAGTTTTTATTTAATACTCTTATATGTTATTAGAAGAGAATTTTACAATTATGTTATGGAGGATGAGTTGTAGAGAGAGAGAGAGAGAGAGAGAGATGGAGTAATTTAATTCCGTTTTCTAATCCATATTCTCATCAAAAATATGTTTTGGATTTTCTATCAGAAAAAACAGATTTATCTCCACAACAGTGAAAACAGACATTGAGTTTGAGTTTAAAAAGTGCAATAAAAACAAAACACATACAAAATCATGTGAATAGCGATATAACATAAGCCATACTGGGTTTGTTTTGTACTGTTTTTGCAATACATTACAAGTAAAGGCATTACTTAATAGTCTGTAATTTTGATGTAATGATACTTAAATTCTGGGAATCGATTGAGTCTTAAACCTGAAAACTTTTTCTATTAAATAATATTCGTTAAGCATTAGAAAAGAAATATATTTTTTTAATCAGACTTTTCATATTAGTTAACGAATTCCCGACACAAGGATTTTGGAGCTGACATTGCATTTGAATATTAATCTCATAGACAACCTAAATATTCGCTTAAATTATTTCACACAAAAAACACGGAATATTCCGTAAAGAACTGCGAGAGCGGAGGCAAAAAATAATTAAATTTTTCTTCGCGCGACACAAAAAATATTTATTGAATTATTTATAAGAGATTATATTATTAATGACAAAAAAATTCAACCCATACATGAAAAACTAAAATTCTTGATAACATGCATCCAAAGCAAAAAACAATACATTATTCTGAGCACTAATTTTGAGTACAAAAATTACCACAATATTTAACGCCAAGAATTTGAACTCAAAAAATCATAAACGATTAAAAAATATTTTTTAACTGTCTTTTGCAGAGGAAAAGTACGACGAGTTTGAGCTAATGCTGAACGAGGCGTGCGCTCAACGGTTGGCACAGAAGAATGGGCCCCAGAATCAGATCCGTCGGTCGCGCCGGGAGTTGGACCGCCTCTGCAAGAAGACCAGCTTCAAGAAGGAAGAGGTGAAGCTCTTGTACTGGGGCTACAAGTGCGCGACAGCCATGTCCGACGGCATACTCAACGAATCCATCTTTAAGGACATCTACTCCCAGTTCTTCCCTCAAGCGGGTAATTATCGCTCACAAGTACTACGACAACAACCTGTTGCCTCACATCCCTTTCCCCACTGACACCAGTTTTAATTAAAAGCCACTTTTTTGTGTGTTATTAACAAATTTGTGTTTGTTTTGTGCGATTCTTGTCTTCTTTTTGAGGTTTTATTTCGCTCTCAACCGACAAAAAAGTGTCGCATTTCTCACACAAATGACACTTTATTTTATGATAACAAATCACTTTTTGAGTGCTTCACCGCATTCTTACTGTCCATTTATGAGGGAACAGGTATGATGAGAGCACAGCTGGTGCCACACAACCAAATGCTAGTGATAGCCATCGCACCTATAGGTGTGGAGTGGGCTCACAAACACACACGCAATGTATTGTACTTAAGGGCAGTTAACATGCGGTCCTAATTAAATGCATAATCCATTTGCCGTTCGCCCACTCACTGCTTAATTACGAAGTGCTCCCAGAATTACATACCAGTGCTCACGACTCCACTCTTAATGATCCCTAACTATGTCTCAGGAATATTACGAGTCATAGCCGACAGAGTCTGTGAGTCTGAAAGAGTCACAAAATTATAGTAATAGTCGATTGAATCCATTAACTGACAGTCAGAATAGAGTTGGCCTTTTTAGGGATAAAATCTGATTTATGGCTAACTTTTCGGTTATAATAATTGATTACTTCTTAGTGACGGACGGGGAGATGCAAAGTAGGACTTCATCTATAAATCACACCATTATCTCAAATGCATGAGAATTTTCTTTAAAAAGCCTATGATTTCTAACACTAGATCCAGAATAACACATGAATTTTTAATCTCTAGTTTTGCATTCACTTCAGTGTCTAAACACTAACAATAAGTTTAATTCAATGAAAATGTCAAATATTACAACAAATATCATTGATTTTACAGGTGATGCCAGTCTGTACGCACACTATGTGTTTAATGCCATGTTCTCGGAGGCTCTCAAGAAAAATAACGGACAAATCACTTTCTCGGACTATGCCTGCGCCCTATCATTGCTATGCCGGGGCACCATCATCGATAAAATACAATGGATTTTCACGTTATATGATATAAACAAAGACGGTTTGTATGATATAATACACAACTATATTACTGTCAGTGATATATACTCTGTAACTGTTAGTAACTTTTGGGAAGTGAAATTGGCAGTAAATCTAAACGTAATTTATAAATTGAATTTAAGTTTAATTGTGAAATCTAACAATTTTATTTTAAATATATGCTAATAATGATCAAGTTCGTATGGTAATTTTATTTTTATCATCAATGGTATTGAAGTA